GGGAAACAGAAAGAAAGCAATCTGAGGGATGATGCCTGAGGAAAGGCTGGGGACTCTGCAGCACGGTCCCTGCAGAGAACAGTTCCAGTTGAGTGACTCCCTTACAACTGGCTGTGAAGCATTGATGAGTGAGGGGGCAGAGAGGAAGTGGAGGAAGAGAGTGGAACCATAAGCTTTTAAGAAGCTTTGGGTAAAGGACAGGGACACTGGGCAGTGTTGAGGGACACTGCTATATTAAAGAAAGGGCTTTGGGATGGGGGGGACACCGCGGCACATTTTACTATTTAAAAAAAAGGTCTGGTGCTTACAATTTTCTTTAAATATTATATATTTTATAAATTGCAAGGCATCTCATGTTCTCAAAACAATACTTTGAATCAAGAGATAACAAAAGTAGCAAGCAACAGAGCTGGGACTAGCTCTAGCTACATGGGTATTGGGAACAGTGAGACGGATGATGCAACAACCGACTCCTTGAAGGACTAAAATCTTGGTGGATGGAGATAGGCTGAGATGCACAGGCAGAGGGAAAGGAAGCAAGAACATTCTTCCTAAGAGATAAGTACACAGGAGGCCAGAAAGGATAAAAACGCAAAAGTATTTTGAGTGGCAAAGGAGGAAGTTGAGGTAACGAAGGGGGAAGTTGAGGTGACAAAAGCCTTGAACTTCTCAGTAAATGATGCAGTTATTGGACCTAAAAGTCATAACTCAAACCAAAACCCATGAAGGCTGTGAGCTCTCCTTCAGTGGGTGGAGAGAAACAGTGGTATCTTTTAAAAATCAAAAGAGATTTGCCATAAAATGAGGCAGTGTCTGGTAAACCGAGTCCTTATTTTCATATAGCTTTAAAATAAGATACTATTATTACCATATTTTGACCAATGTGCTCAGTAACCCACATTGGTTATGAATTATTAATGTACCAATGAGTCTTTGGGCATAACCATGTAGGGCACCGTGTAAGTAAGCTTCAAGAATCTACAATATCCTTAGGAGTATGTGGTCTACTTTTATATATTCCCAGAAGAATGAAGCTTTCATTATCCCAGTCATTCTATAATGCCCTGAAAATAATATAATCTATCTATCTATCTATCTATATATATATATATATATATATATATATATAAAGCCTAAGTGACCATTCAACCATTTGACCAGTACTTATACATGTACTGACCACCAGGGGGCAGACACTCAATGCACAGGCATGAAAACATGGATCAGACTGATGAATCTTAGAGGGAAGAGGGGAGGGAGTAGGGCAGGAAGAGATTAACCAAAGATCTTATATGCATACTAGAGGCCTGGTGCATGGATTTGCACACCGGTGGGGTCCCTTGGCCTGGCCTGTGGGGATCAGGCTGAAACCGGCTCTTCGACATCCCCAGAGGGGTTCTGGACTGCAAGAGGGCACAGGCAGGGCTGAGGGACCCCACTGGTGCACAAATCTGTGCTACGAGGATAATATAATAAATATAATATAATATAATATAATATAATATAATATAATATAATATAATATAATTAATATAATATAATATAATAAATATAATCTATACTAATAAAAGGATAATATGCTAATTAGACAGATAGACCAGACGTCTTCCAGACTTTCTTCTGGACAAAGCCATGGTGGCGGGAGCAGAGGCAGAGCAGTTAGGGGAAATCAGGCAGGCAGGGGAGCAGTTAGGGTCAATCAGGCAGGCAGGCAGAGGTGGTTAAGGGCAATCAGGCAGGGGAAGAGTTAGGGGAGATCAGACCAGCAGGGGAGCAGTTAGGGGTGATCAGGCCAGCAGGGGAGCAGTTAGGGGCAATCAGGCCAGCAATCAGGATGGCAGGGGAGCAGTTGGGGGCAATCAGGCAGGCAGGCAGGCGTGAGGTTAGGAGCCAGCGGTCCTGGATTGTGAGAGGGATGTGGGATCGGGCCTAAACCGGCAGTTGGACATCCCCTGACGGGTACCAGATTGGAGAGGGTGCAGGCTGGGCTGAGGAACCCCCCCCATGCATGAATTTTGTGCACCGGGCCTCTAGTATAATATAATATAATTAATATAATATAATATAATATAATATAATATAATCACACACATAAGTATATATACATGAGAGCATATCTGCATAAGAAATGAAGTAGCATATAGAAACAGGTATGCTTTTGTTTATCTACTACCATTTTTATCTTAATATTTTTAAAAGCTTTGTAGAAATTTCCATAGCAAGACATTATTTTAATAGAGAAAATATAGTTTTCCCTAATGGTCATTACTGCCATTAGCCACTGCAGACATAGCCTAAGTAGAACTTGCTTACATAAATGGCTTATCTCATCAATAATACAGATACAACCTTAGGCCATTGAAAAAATATGGAGAAATTAAAAACAACAGAAGTCCAATCATCTAGATAATTGATGACTTTTGCTCTTTAAGTCATCCTCACTAAAATGAGCCTTCTGCAGAGGAGTGTGGTGACTCCCAGCTCATTCCACACTTGGCATGGGAAAATTAACCTCTCTGAACCTCCATTTCTATGTTTGCAATAAGACAAAACGCCTACTTAGTAAAGAAGGTGTTGGGAGAGTTGGAACTAGATGCATATATACTATTCCTGGCTCATAGTAGGTGCTCAGTGAATAACTGTATGTGGTATAGCTTGTTGTGTGGCAGAAAGAGCACCAGTCTCAGGGCCATGGTGACTGCCTTCTGGTTTGGCTTGATCACTGGGAGCAAAGTCTTTAACAAGGCATGTCCCATCCCTGGGCCACCATTTCCTCATTTGTCAAATGAACAGAATGGTTTCTGAGGTTCCCCCTGAGTAGCTTTAAAAATCCTGTCTGGTGACCAGTTTGTAAACTCTGTAGTGGGCTATACTGATATATTCCTTTTGGTTGGTACAAAGCAGATCCCCAAGA